AAAAATCACAGATAATTTATTTATTTTGTTTATTTTTCCTCCATCCCAAATTTTGTCCAGATTATCCGAAATTTGGGATTTGTAGGATTCATATTAGAAAGGTTCTACTGTAGTCTTTTTATTGATAAAAATGATACGATGAATGGTTTTCTGATAAATCTTCTATGAATCCTTCTATGAATGGTTTTCTATTAAATGGCACAAGCAATGTAGAGTATTAAATTCCGGACACGAGAGTGCACTGTAGTAAAAACACCAGGAATAATTAGATCGACTCTAGACAATTTCAAAAACTCAATAAAAATTAGTACAGAAATACATCAAGAGGTACAAGGAAGTATTTGTTAACCAGAACATGGCATGACTTGGCATATATATACAGAAGAATGTCTCAGTATTCAACGGACGGAAGGGAAGTGCATTACACAACTTTAAAAAGAATAATGATGTATTTTAAATGAACAAATAACTTAAAATTGAAAATAAACATGGAAAAAGAATGTTTTAAAATGAGCTCGGATGCAAGTTGGAGCACTAATAGTGATACTAAATCTTTTGCAGGATTTATTATAAAATTGGGAAAGTCTTTAATAAGCTGGGAGTCAAAAAAGCAAAAGATTGTAGCACTATTAACAATGGAAGCAGAATGAATAAGAGTTAGTTAAGTAATTTGTAAAAGTCAATGGATGACAGATGATATCTGAATTGGGTTTTCCTGATTTAGTAAAAACTCCAATACATTGCAAAAGAGACTGTAAAGTGGTGATGAACTGGTGAAAGAGCTTAAAAAGAACATCAAAAAATTAACGTATTGCTAGAAAATATAATTTTGGAAAGGACAAAGTAACAGAAAATAACATCAAATTGTGACATGTCAAATCTATCGAACTAGAAAAAGATATATTAACCAAAGATAAAATTATTTTCTGTTTAAGCATATGAATGAATTAGGTTTGGAATGAAAGCAGCGAGTAATTATTAGTTTCATGAAAAAGGGGATTTGTTATGTTTATTTACAAAATGGTATAATGCAACAAATAATTATGTAGTACTCAAATACAAATGGTTATCTAGAGATCACATCTATATAAGAGAGAAAGTCAATTTGATGTTCTATTTGTGTCATGTATCTTTGTAAAAGTGCAAATAAAATGTGTGTGTCATAACACATACTATGTGAATAGTGTGTTATCATCCGAAATGTGATTAGTTATTTTGCAACTTCTGCCAATATAGTACTTTCCTGTTAACATTTTTTAATGCACCCCTCTCTCAATTTTATGTGTTCAAGCTAATCTTGAGAAGGAGGAATCCTTGTTCTACTCACTAGTTAGGAATCTCCCAGAAGAATCTCTCTCAAAGAATAAACTAGCAAACTAGTATGAGGAAAAGTAGTAGTCTTCAAAACTTTTAATAGCAGAGAAAACAGTGTACGAGCCAATAAGCTAATATTTAAAAAACATAGCTAACCTATCTGTTAGCTTGTATCTAATCAAGTCTCCCAGTGCCAACCAAAACTTCCTCCTTTAAATATTGTAAACATCTCAAAGAAGCAAAAGAATGCAAGTTTATAATGACAACAAACTTGTCAAAAGTATTCATCCTCATTTTAATTCACTAAGTTGATTTTTATCGCAATGTCAATACACATTTCCCAAATGACAAAATTTAAAGACTTGAATTAGAATTCCGCTGTCAAAGGTTTACCTCAATCTGAAATTTTAATCATCCTCAGTTATATCCTATGTATTTAAATACCATGATAATTACTTACTCTGAAAGAACCCCAAGCAAACACTCTACCATCATCAAGAAGTACAGCAGAATGAGAATCGCCAGCTGTAATCTGAATTGCCTTTCCAACCAATTCCACTTTTCCAGGCTTGAATTCAGAACCTTCCTCAGAGGTTTCTCTGCCAAGACCTCCTTCATCATTACAGCCAAATGTGATAACCTGCAGAAGAAAATCATTTTCATACTAGCTGGTTTTTAGCATATCACAGCAATAACACTTTAAATCATTTCAACCACTCCACATTAACCTAATTTTTTGTTTTCAAGAAACAACGTTTGGCACATTTCATTACAAGAATTCAATTTTTGATATAATACTATTAATATTGACATTATGTTTCTTGTTCACTACTAGGAACTCTTCTGCTAACTGAAATGTGACTTCAGTTTATTACTGAAGAGAAAGTAAAATAAAATTGCTAAAATGTTTTACAAATCTAACAAAACTCTAGTATAAATGTTAAACCACAATAAATCAAGGAATATGTGCAACTATCCTTTTTAAATTTCACTTGATATTACTCATCATTCAAGTATTGTAATGGCCTGGGGTTCTCTATAGCTGTTATTTGAAATTCTAATAATGAAAGGAACTCAATTTTATGACTGATACAAACACTCAGTGAGCAATAAAGTTCCATGTGTCAGACAGTGAAAGAAGTCAGCCCAGTGCTGACCCTTGAATTATACATTTTTTGTTACAAATATTTGTAACTGAACAGTTTATGAAAAAAATTGTTTAGCCCTTTGCTTTCAAACTAAATTGAGAATTTAATTCGATTTGAATTCTAGCAAAATTAAGCGAACCAAAGCGTAAATTGATCAATGGTTATTAGACAAAACTGACGGGAGATAAGGATTTTTTATTAAATTTTCAAATTTCTTACCCTATTTTTGAATGATTGTGTGCTTTCTGTGTGTTCTGATTAAAAACTTAAAAGGAATGTTATTTGTACCTCATGAACACAAAAGCGGTTTCACGGGTGTGACTATCTTTTCCTTTATTTTACACTTCAACAACAGAAACTAGTGGTGGTACAGAATGGCACAGACTTTCTCATAGTAAAATTTTCTAATTTCCTAGGTGTGGTCTAGCTTTAAGAGTTTGTACCATCCTTTTGCCAGCTGCCATCTATCACCACCCAAAATACAATTTTTTAAAGTTTTCTCAATTTTTCAGTTTCCTGATGGTAGATTTGAAATATTACTTTTAAAATATCAAAGGAGAGTAAAACCTCATCCTATACACAACTTTATGTTGAAACATTTTGAGCTTTTTTTAAGAATTGTTTAAGCTCTAGTGTTAATGCAAAACTTTAAGCTCTTTTTAACAGGAATCTTTTGAGTTTTAGAAACGTTTCACTTTAAGTTTATGATGCACGTTTACTCATAAACGCTATAATGTATTCAAATTTCTGGAAATGTGGATATCAACGGCATGAGAAAAATTTAAACAAAATTACACTTCTGTAATTTTTGAAAAAACAAAAAATACAACAAAATTAATTTAATGTCATCTTAAATGGTAGAATTGGCACTATCCACACAAAAAATTTGAAGAAAAAATTTGGAGCCATTTTTCACAAAATGGCCTTTCAGTATTTCTGAAAATGTAGAACTTTGAGCTGTTTTTCACAGAAAACTTTAGTTTCGTGAACACTTATAAGACATTATTTAAAGCACACGTACTTGTAAATGCAACAGTGTTAACAAAACACCTCTAGTATAAATATTAACAGTGTAAGAGGCTTATCAAAAATTTTGATTACAAAAAATTAAACGAGCAATTTCTGAGAAAATCTTGTTTTTCTTATTTTTGAAATTTGGACATATTGCAGGGAATATTGCACGAAAACCACTAAAGTTTCAAAAAAAAAAAATGTACACGACTATTGAGAGAACTAAACATGGAGAACAAATTTCATTGGAAGGAAACATCTCTATCTTCAATTTTATACTCGTAGGAAGACGCTTAAAATAATTCAATATTTTGCAATTTTTGAAAATTCAGAATTATCACAAAGTCGGACCTATGCCATCTTTGAATTTCTTACAAGAATGGAGCGAAATACTAAGAAAAAAATATTAGAAACATTTTTGAGAAAATTCTGAAAATCCCACAAGCTGAATGTTAAGTTCCCCCCAAAATTAATAAAGGAATTTTTCAAAATCACAGAGCTTCGACTCATGCTAAATTGACAGGGATTTATTCAGATTGGCAAAAAAATTCACGCTATTTAAAGAAATAGTGTGTTCATCAGGGTGTGCAATCAACCCACGCTCCACCGGACTTGCTACTTAGGGCGTCAACAACACAACACATTGTGATGTACAAATATAAAGCAATCATGAAACTTACATCATGCTTTGAATCGCAGAAATATGGTCTCAAATGGAAGTGTTTTGAAGAAACGTAACTTTTAAGTTTATTTATTAACAACTGACGCTACGAGGGTCTGCTTGAAACAGAGCAGCCTTCTTTTTCAGATGTACTGAGTCAGTTGTGTAAACAGAGGAAATCGCATAACATATGCGTTGTTCTGTGAAGTTAGTAACCACACATAGACTTATGATAATAATATATAATATTCTTAATAAAAGCTAGCCTTCAATTCTGATAAGAACCTATTAATTTACCCAGAAAATTACTTAGGTGGGTTGAAGATAATGTGAAGAACATTACCTTTATAGTTTTAGCAATGCTGAATATTTAGAAAGAGGACTACTGCAACAATGATACCCAAAAAAGGTGCAAAGAAAATAAAATTGTTTCATGTCTTAATGAAAATTAATCATATTCAGCCCTACCAATAAACATGGTGTATAATTTATTCTGAGCTTAAGCCCAGAATAGCGAAAACTCCAACCAATAAACATGGACTAACTTGAGCATGGAATAAGTGAGGAATAGTTTCCATGGCAACCGCTTCGTAGTTTAAGCATGGAATAACCTAGAAATTCCAAAACAGAGGCGAATAAGAACAAACTGTTTGTGCGTTTCACTTCATTGTATCATTGTCTTTTTTATTTCAACTGTAGTTTCCTTTCTTGTGTTTTCTCGAATATTTGGCAACTTAGTTTATTTCGTGAATCATTAATTTGTTCGTGATTTCTTTGATATTTGGCATTGGAAACTTCTAAGTGATTTTGTTGGTGTTTGTTGCCAAAAATAGATATGTAAATAGCATTGATAAAATGTTCGGTCAGCTGAGAAAAAAAGTAACCGAGCATGTGCGAATCTTTTTGATAGGTATTCAGCTGAATTTCGAAATAAAAAATGGGTTTTCGTGGGACGGAACAAAGAAGTTAACCAAGTGTGTTGAAGAGTGTCATTAACAGCAACAATATCTCTAATTGGCCCACAGTGATAGATGTCTATTACAAGTATATTGAATCATTAAACGTCCATACACACAATACCTCATAGAAAATTAAGGATATGCATTTTTTATTTTAATAAAATAAATAGTGTTATCCATGAAGAATTAAATAAATAAAATGACATGACATAACATTCTCATATTTTCAATGATTCAGCATTAAAACAAAGACGAAGATGAAAAATTTCATGGCAGATTTTTTTGATGTATTCAAATTTGAATACATTAAAAGTGGATAGTGCCAATTGTACTGTTTAAGATGACATTAAATTAATTTTGCTGTATTTTTTGTTTTTTCAAAAATTACAGAAGTGTAATTTTGTTTAAATTTTTCTCATGCCGTTGATATCCACATTTCCAGAAATTTGAATACATCTACTCTACCTCTATGAATAATTAATCCGTCCCATAAAAAAATCATGAAATACAAGAAAAAATACTGTGTAGAGGGGTTTGTTATATTAATATAAGTTATATAATATATAAAAACTACTTTCAATGCTCAGAACAGACTGCAGAGCCGTTGCTTTCAAAAGCCAGAATTTTATGTGGAGGAAGAAGTGATCTACCACTTAAACTACCTATAGTAATAGATCTTCAAAGAGGAGCAGCAGTTTGGAGAGCACTTACGAGAAAACAATAAAAATAAAATGTATGATATATAACTGACTAAATGTTTTATGAACGTACTAATTTCAAATAAAAGTTGTACATGTATTACATGTCTGATAATAGTGTTGTAGCTATTGAACATGGTAATAAATTCTTCTTATGTTCAAGAATACAGAAAATTTATTTTCATTGAGTGTTCTAGAAAAACTTTCTATTTTAACATTAATTTCCATACAACTAGTTTCTTACATGTTTAAATCTGAATTTACTAGTTTTTCTACAAAAAAATACAAGAACTTGTCCCATTTTTTTAGCTGTTAGAGATCATCCCTCTCTGCAACATCAATAATCTCTAGGAAAGCACAGTAACAGAAATTACCTTTAGTAAAAATCTAAGAAGAGAGGATTGGTTTTCAATATAAATAAAAAAATTTAAAAACTGATACGCCAAATACAATTATGAAGAACCTCTTCAACTTCATATAAAGGTTTAAGTGATTGCAAGAACATGTATATAACATAAATATTTTAACCAATATTTGATAACTAAATGTCACATACCAAAGTCACATAAAAACAGTGAAAAAAAGTTACAAATATTGAGTCTTCACCAGATGTTGGACTATAAAATTGGTTCATTATGAACTCAAATTAATAAATTGGAAGTTCTAACAAATCTTTTAGGACAATACCTGAATAATAAAAAACAATTATTGTCATAATATTTTAATATGAATTTGGTAGGCAATAGTTATGATCATGTCAGTATCAAAGTTGGTCGTTCATAAACAATATTCATGTAAATGAGTATTTGTATGACACTATTGTCTTAAAATAGAAAAAATAATCTTCATATTGGGGTATTTTAGCATGGTGATTTAGTTGATGCCTGCCTATCTACTGTAGTAAGATAAGTCAAAATTATTTTATTACATTCTTTTAAGTGAAAGAATGTAAGACAAAATTTTAGTGATATATTTTTTTTTATATCAAGTTTCAAAGGGTAAAGGTTCAGAAATTGAATAAATAAAAAATAGATGTTCTTGAGATAAATAAATCATCTAACACTGGTCAGAAACTAATTTCATTCTTTCACTATTATTTACACTCTTTTTCAAATCGTTGTATATCAACAAAAATTAAAAAGAAGTAATTTTTGGTGCGCAAGGGAAAATTCAACTTGACATTGGCTTGCTTTGAACAATTTAACTTTTAATAATTCATATAAGTGGGATTACATCATATGTTGATAAATTCAATCTAAATTAGTTCACAAACAGGAACATTGTTCAATTATGAAATTGAATAACGTCCTATCTTTACATCAGAATTAAGTGTTCCTACTGGCATACGAGCAACATGAATTGAAGCTGCAGTTTTAGTTAGTAATAAAGTTGAATGGAAGATTTCTTCTTCTCTAATAATTATTGTTCAACAATCGTATTAACATTCTCTAACCAAGTTAGGAGATACTTTTCTTTTTTTTTATTTACTTTGTAACTATTCCATCATAAAATTTTCCATGTATTTTAACTTTGTTTACAATAATTATATATGGCAAGATGCCAGCAGATAATATGAAGGAAAATAATATTACCCTCTATTTAAAAGAATAACTTATTAACTATATTTGAATAAATACCATTCTGTTTAAAAAGAAGTGAATTGAAAATGGGGGAAAGAATTATTTAAATTAAGGAGGATGGGAAATTAAGTTCTTAAGGAAACACTAACGTATATAAGGATTTGGAAAATAATTTTTAGATCCATGTGAAATAAATAAATTATAAAAGTTGTTTGCGAGATGAATAAAGGATTTAAAAGAATCAACTTTAAGTTCTCTAGTATGTGTTTTTGAGATTCTTATATTATTTTTCATATTTACTGTCATTTCAAAAATTCTCACAATTGTGTCTCATTGAACAATAGAAAAAAGGGGTTAAAAATCTATTTCTGAAAGTGTTATATTCATAAACTTACTGGACACAGTTTATTTATTTCGCCAAATTCACATCTTATTCTCATGATATTCGTCAGATTTCATTTTTAAACAGTGTTCTTTCTGCAATCATTTATCTATTCTTAACTTGCAAACGCGCTTTTGTTATTAACTTGATTTTTTTTTTATCGACACCAGCATTCAAAACAATCTTAATTCGAAAACAATTTGTTCCTCAATATGAGTCCACTAACTACCAATGCAATCACACAATTCAGAAAAAAATGTGAAATATTCTGTTCAAACATAATGCGAAGTTCCCATCCTTCCAGAGGCACCAAAGAATAAAGTAAATACACCATAGATGGTGTATGAAGCAATATTGCCAAGCATTGATCCTGTATTCAACAAGGACTAGTTAAGCTAGGGTTTAGCAGCCATTATTGGTAAAAATTTAATCCACCCTTATTCCGAACTTATGCTGGATGTAACTATTCCCGGAATAAGTGTGTTTTAACGAAGTTACACCAAGCATTTATTAGTACAGCTGATTATCTGTAAAGTGAAGTAAAAAATGAATCAATTCAATTAGTTTTATAACAAATTCTAATTCATATAAATATTCCATTTGTTTAATACTAAATTGATTCAGTTTGACACTTTTTAATTTGAATTTAATCAGCTCTAAAGTACATACATACATATCTAGCAAGTAGTAAGATGTGAAGGGATACTTTAGTATATTGCTGTATTTACTGATATATCTGTGAAAATATATTGATGATAATCATATACTGCTGATTGGCACCGTTTGAGGGGTGACGCTCTACCATACGCAGAAGCAAAACAGAAAGAAGACATTTAATTTCTCAGATATTTTGGTGTCCCACTTTGTAATGTACCACACATGCCTAGAATTTTTAAAGATTACAATGGTATTCTTTTCAAAATTTTAAACTGTCAATTTTTGAAAAAAAAAAATAAATAAAAATAAAATACGCCAAAAAATTATTTTAAAAAAATTTAATGAATTCAATACATACACCACATGAAAGAGCATCATTTGTCCTTTAAAGCCTTAAAATATTAAATTTCTGTTACAATTACAACAGGAGTTAAAAATGATTAACTTTAGCAATGCAAGTATTTTATCGGAAATTTTGAAAATTAATAAAATCTCAAAACACAATACTTGGGAAAAAATGGAAAACACGTGTTTCATGATTTTGCTTATATTCTTCCCAGAAAAATGTTTAAAAATCAAGGACATCAAGGACAAACTTTCCTTAAATTTGGTGCGTTTTGGCATGGAATGAACCATGAGTGCTTTGTCTCAATAGGACTTTTTCAGTTTGAGGTAGTTATTAGTATAGCACAAATTGCAATATTATTTAAATGTTTCCAATAATGCAAGAAAATATGTGAAGTTGTAACAACTCTAATTTATTTTAAGAACAACATACTTCACCACTGCTGGACAGGCATGTCGTGTGCATTCCTCCAGCACACACATCCACAATGTCCTTCAACAAGGGAACCAAAGCAGGTCGCATTCTTTCCATAATGTCTTCACCCAATCCAAGCTGACCAACATCGCCTTGTCCAAATGTTAAAACAATACCAGCTTCTTTGGTTCTTGTGACACCAGGAGAAGATACAATCACTGCAACGATAAATAATGTAGAAAATTATTGTGAAGCAGAAAATAAAGCAGGCCAATATTAGCAATGAAATAATTGGAATAGCCTTTGTGATTACTCTCAAAAACCGTTCTATCAATCACTGATATTTACACATACCACTCATCTTCATTTTAACATTAAACCACTGTTCTGTCATATCACTGATATTTGCATATACCCCTCATCTTCATTTAATTTTAACACTACACCACCTCTACAGAGAGGAAAAGTGTGAACTCTGGTCAGTCATAAAATGATTTCTTTTCGGACACATAATCTAATGGTACATTTACAAAAATTAATTTACTTATTTTAATCTTCAAAAACTGTAAAAAAAAATGTTCTTCAAGGGATAAGTCATTCTAGGCACATTTTCAAAAATATCCTGGGATTCCTTCCCTAAACCACACACAAGTTGAGTTCTGAATACAGATCAAAAGGAGCATTTTTGTTAAGAATTGATAAAATATTCACTATGCAATAAAAAACTTTGGAAAGGCAAATCAGCTACAGATTTTGTCTAATATCCCTCATTATGCCATATGTGAAGGGATCCTGCCACAAGAAAACCGAGAACAATTATTTTAATAACAACATTTTCCACTGAACTATGGAACACATGCACAGAGAGTGAAGTTACACGTATGTCCAGAAGCAAGACAAGAACCATGCTCAATGGATCTGGGAATTAGGACCAAAAAATAAATAAATAAAACTAGGATTATTGAACCAGAAGCTGAGGTTCAGTACACGTTACAGGCTTACTTAGTGCTTTAGAATTATGCAATCTAAATGGTATCTAATACATTAATTATTTGACCTCAGTGAATAAGCTGATAAGTAATGAAAACTTCATTTTACACAAGAGCAAATCACAACTTTCAACTGATGTTGTGAATTAGGGATTAATGACAATTTATCACACTAATCAACCTAAATCTACACATAAATTGTTTCATTTAAACATCACCCTCATTTGAACATCATTAATCTCTGATTTCAGTTGAAAGATTTTTTTTGCTCTCCTGGAAAATTAAGCTTTCATGACTTATCAGCTTATTCACCAGGATTAAAGAATTACCATTGTTACAATCAATATTACTCTGTGTAGAAACAGTTACGCAGCACAAAAAATTTGGTGAAACTTGTGTATTGATTTTAAATGTTTAATGTCATTAAGCATTACATGTATTTGTATGTGAATTTTTGGTAGGGATCTACTGGTACTGGTACCTGATGAATGAATGTTAAGTGTTATGAATTTCCGTTAATTAATTTATGCCAAATGGCGTCATACAAATAAGTAACAATTCATAATTTAAATTATAAAGCTACAACTCATTTATAATAATCAATATTGAGGGGAAAAAATCAATGCATATAATTAAAATAAAAATTATTGAACTAACTGAATTACAATACTGAGTAACAATTATCGAAATATATAATCTAAATGTAAGATATCGTAGATCAAAAAGTATTGTATTTTTATTTTCTCACTACAGCTTACACAGTAGAGAGGAAGTTATATAATGCTGCGGAAAAAATACCAACA